ACTATTACTGTAGCCACAGCTGCCCTGGGGCACACTGACAGAAGTTAAGCAAGCAGTCTGTGCCATCAGCCCCTCCCACCACCACCAGCCATTCACACTAACACACCGGACTCATTCTAATGTGGGTGAAGTGTGCCCTACTGTGGCACCTGGTTATCCCAGAGTCTCCCATCACAGTGCTAACCAAGTCATGTCCTGCTTAACTTTAGAGGTCTGACAGGATCTGGCCTGATTTCAAATTGTTTCATTTTCAACTGAAACTGAACAAACACAGCAGGAAGAATCCAAGCTCAGGAAATACAGACTTAAGTGTGTGTACTGTGTTCAACCTGTTGTTCTGCTCCACACACACACACACATACACACACAATACACCAGCGCACGTTGCCCGTTTCCATGACAACTGTACGTCCACAGCAGCAGAGGAGGCAGCGACGTTTGATGAATGAGAGAAAAGATGAATTTAACCGTTAGAAGTGACGTTTGAAATCACACACTGGTCACAGCAGCAGCAGCAGCATCAGCAACAGCATCATCAGCAGCAGCATCAGCTGCAGCAGCATCAGCAGCATCAGCATCAGCTGCAGCAGCAGCAGCAGCAGCATCAGCAGCATCAGCAGCAGCAGCATCAGAAGCATCAGCATCAGCAGCAGCAGCAGCAGCAGCAGCAGCAGCATCAGAAGCATCAGCAGCATCAGCAGCAGCATCAGCAGCATCAGCAGCATCAGCATCATCAGCAGCATCGGCATAATCAGCAGCAGCAGCATCAGCATCAACAGCAGCAGCAGCATCAGTATCAGTATCAGCAGCAGCATCATCAGCAGAATAATCAGCAGCATCAGCATCAGCAGCATCAGCATCAGTATCAGCAGCAGCATCATCAGCAGCATCAGCAGCATCAGCATCAGTATCAGCAGCATCAGCATCAGTATCAGCAGCAGCATCATCAGCAGCATCAGCATCAGTATCAGCAGCAGCATCATCAGCAGCATCAGCAGCAGTATCAGCAGCATCAGCATCAGTATCAGCAGCAGCATCATCAGCAGCATCAGCAGCAGTATCAGCAGCATCAGCATCAGTATCAGCAGCAGTATCATCAGCAGCAGCAGCAGCATCAGCATCAGTATCAGCAGCAGTATCATCAGCAGCAGCAGCAGCATCAGCATCAGTATCAGCAGCAGTATCATCAGCAGCAGCAGCAGCATCAGCATCAGTATCAGCAGCAGTATCAGCATCAGTATCAGCAGCAGCATCATCAGCAGCATCAGCAGCATCAGTATCAGTATCAGCAGCAGTATCAGCAGCATCAGTATCAGTATCAGCAGCAGCAGCAGCAGCATCAGCATCAGTATCAGCAGCAGTATCAGCAGCAGTATCATCAGCAGCATACACTCTTAGTCCTTGACGATTCAATCATGTAACTTTTATCATAACGTACGTTTCAAACCAGCCGGTGTTTGCTCACAGACAATAGAAAAGATACATAGGTTTTCTTTAAATATATTGCATCAAACATGTCTTTCAAATAAACACAAATAATAATTTGCAACAACAACACACATGATAAACACAGATTGGGACTTTAGTTTGGATTATTGCTCAAGTCCCAGAGGCAGACAGACCTCTCTCTGTCTCTCTCCCTATAGTGCTGCTTGTGTCTCTGTGTCTCTGTGTGTGTCTCTGTGTGTGTCTCTGTGTCTCTGTGTGTCTCTCTGTGTGTGTCTCTGCTTGTGGCTCTGTGTGTGTCTCTGTGTCTCTGTGTGTCTCTTTGTGTGTGCCTTTCTCCCCGAAGCTGAACAAACTGATGACGTCAACACAAAGACGTCCAATCCATCACAGGACAAAGTTTCCCGTTGGCTTTTCTCTTTTTAACCACACGGCAGCAACACAATCTGGAGGTGAGTCCAAGGAGTCTCCAGATCTCTCGCTCCTATTGGTTGAACCGACGCCTTGATTTAAACCCAAATAAAAAGTAAATGTCCACAATATTTGGCCTTTAAAAGACTCTTTCTGTGGCTTTTGAAAACAGGAAATGCAATCATAACAAAGACATAAAGTAGGTCCAAAGGGAGCAGGACGACCACTGAACCATAGTAAATGCTAATAAATGTCCTGGATCCACTCTGGCCTTAGACCCTCCTGCAACATAAAGTTAAATATTCCAGCTTTAATTGCAATATCATCAAAAACACAATGCTAGTGAAAACAGCTTATCCCAGAGACTGTTAGAACGCTTTGTAAATAAGTCTGAATCTGCTTGTAATTTGTCTTTTATGGGGTGAATTGGGCATAAAGATGGGGGACCTCATAAAGTCATAAATAATCCAATCCACTTTATATATATAGCACATTTGATAAGGTCTCCAAAGTGCTGCACAGAGATAAAAGTAACACATTTGAATAAAAAGGTCAGCCAGATTCAGAATATAATATAAATAAACAGGCGGAAAGAATGTTTGTGGAAGCTAATGCTAATTTAGCCTGTAGCCTTTTAATACGGTTGCATTTAGACCTTTATTTTCAAGCCTGTGTCAACGTAAATATGTGAAATTATGCCCTGCGGGTTTGAAATGAATCGCACTAACTATGTAACCGTTATTTTTTTATCATTACTTCTATCCATCCTCTCCGCAGATTTGTAGCTAAACATTTCTGATTCTGTTGTGATCCCCGTCAGCCTCACAGCACCACTTGTGTACACGCAGAGTTAATTATTCATTCCTCATTCACATCATGCCGCAACCACTCACAGCCTTTACAGCTCAAAAACCTTCAAAGCCGCAAACGAAACCTCATTTTTGCTCTAAATCCCAGTGATCAATCTCTACCCCCTCCTCCTCCTCCTGCCTCTGTCTGTCTGTCTTATCTATCCCCATTTGTCTGAGGTCTATTTTTCTCCATCCATCCACAAACCAAAGCCCATAAACCGACTATGGGAGACTATTGCCGCCCGTGCCCCTAGCATCTCGCGCCTGGGGTCAGCTCTGGGAATGGCCATTTGGAGATAGAGCAGAAATGTCACGTGGAGATAAAATATTGACGGATAGAATGACTTTTGCTTTTGTCCAGGAGCGTCTGGTGTGTAAGGCAAGGCAAGGCAAGGCAAGTTTATTTATATAGCACAATTCATACACAAGGCAACTCAAAGTGCTGAACAAAACAAGAAAGCATTAAAATCATAAATAATCACAGAACATTAAAAAGAAAAAGAAAAATATAAAATCCCTCAGTTGTATGCACAGCTAAACAGAACCGTTTTTAACCTGGTTTTAAACATTGTCAGAGAGGAGGCCTGTCTCACATCTTCAGGAAGATTGTTCCAGATTTTAGCAGCATGAATCTGAAATCTACGTACCACAGACAGTATATTACACTGCAGTGATTGTTTTAGTCAAATGTGTCTTTATTAGACCACCTTTGATTGCCTTAAAACTAGATTTCCCAATGAGACAGTGAGCAAAGCGATCTTGTTTTCAAAAATGTGTACGATAAATGTCTCTCTTGGAATGAGTAAATAAAGCAACAGTTCTTAAATTAGACTTAATGTATTTGTCCCATTAGCAAATCTTACAAAAAAGTATAACATTACATAATATCAAATCTAAAATGTTCTCCAAGCAGTGGAATTCACACTCTATACTTCTCATTTCGAGTCAAATCTATCTCTTTTCAAACACATTTCAAACCCACATTTCCATCTGACCTGTGTCTGTGTGAATATCTGATAGGATCTTGACAGCTGTAGCAAAGACATGAACACAGTAAATATACATTTGACTCGAGTCCGCATAGAGAATAACCACCAACTGTGAGGGTGAAACCTGTCGATCAAACGTCCTGCAGCAAAAAACGTTCTGCTTCGTTCAGTCAGAAGCCAAAGGATCTGAGCCTCGTTAGTAGCAGGAGGCTGAAAACACGGCGCCAATCGAATAAATACATCACAGAATAAATACATCACCAAACAACCTTGATGCGAACCTCATGTGTTTGTTACAGTCGACGGATTTCGATAATAGGAGACGAAACAGGAGAGAGAGTGTGGGAGCTAGCAAGGGTCAAAAGACAAGAATCTCGTTCCACATTTTTGCTGATGATATCCAGCTATACAGCTGTTTCAAGCCTACCGAGCTCCAGAGGCTTCTTTAGTTCATTGCTTGGTTGAGATGGAACAATGGCTGAGTGGCAACACTTTGCAGCTCATCGTCTTCGCATTTAGACTATTGTAACAGTCTGTTTTCACGTTTGAACAAGAAAGAACTGTCTCGCCTGCAGTTAGTGCAAAAGTCTGCAGCGAGAATCCTGACCCGCACAAGCAGGAGGACACACATCACCCCCGTCCTTAAAGCGCTTCATTGGCTGCCAGTGTCCTTCAGGATACATAAAAAAAACTGGTTTTAACCTTCTGGTTAAACTACCTCAATCAAGGTCTAAATGTATTTCATAGAAGCTGTAAGGAAACACAAACCAGTGAATATTCAGGACCTTACGCGTTAGGCTAAAATACAAAGTGATTTTCCAAAAAGGCCAAAGTGCTCAACAAAATAAGATAGAAACGATTCAAGGCAATACAATCAAAAATAATCAGGATGCATTAAAACAAGTAATGAACAGAACTGCTTAACTTTCATTTTCAGATCCATATTTTTGCTACAAAAATCTGCCTCCTCATGTTTAGTCCCAACTCTGGGACCAGCAGGAGGCCAGTCCCTGTGCTCCTCAGAGTTCCAGCAGGAGTGGCAACCCTGTGCCTCAAATCTATAAAAAATACTAATGTTATACTTTATATCATAAGATCTCAACAAGCTCTAACCACTCTACCACCAATCAGTCCAACTCTATTAAACAGGGTCTACAACGATTTCATGAAAGACATTAGGAAAAAAAAATCCAGTGAATAGTCAGCAATAAGTTAATTTCCAAAGAAGAGCAACGATTTCTCATGTCAGGCACAGCCACCGTTCTCTGACACCAGATCCACAGTCCAAAAGCTAGCATTAGCATCAGCGGAAACACTCACCATTGATCCATTTGGCCTCAGGATCGTGAACTTTGAACTGGGGTTTGAACAAGTCGTCCACCGTCAGTTTGGTGTCGCTGCCGGCCGGGCTTTCATCTGCGGAAACACAACAGACTACGTTAGAAACCACAATATTAGTTGTGTTATTACTGTTTTAAAAGCTGTTGATTCTTCAACAACACATCAGAGAATCTAATAGTTTGAACAATACAATAATAATTGCTGTTGTGATTCAGGGCTGCACAAAAATGCTTTGAGCTGAATTGAAAAACAAGGATTCAACGTGTTTAGGGAAAAATATTAAGAAAAGGTAACAAAGCCCATGTGCAGAGAGTTTGGCCTAAATTCTCTAAAAAACAAATATAATCACTTTAATCAACAATTTGTATCACAAAGTAGCAGCGCATAATCAATCAAAGTTGATTTCAAATCAACTTTGAAATGTGTGTCGGGGAAGACGTCAATCACTTTATGTTTGTCTATTTTAATGTCTATTTAAGTCATTATTGTGTGGTTATTCACACTTGTTATTTCTTTTTAGTTTGGGCTGGGACTTGCAGAGGCACATGTTAACAATATTTTCATATCTTGCCAGATAAAGGAACGCCTTGAAATCTTGTCTCCTGTGTGTTCCTCCGCAGCACACACAAAACAACACAATGCCGAGCGGAGAAAATGAGACCCACTACACAGCACTGACATTTCCTCATTGTGGGACAAACAGAGGATCTCAAAATCCTAATTATTGCATTATTCTTCTGTTTTTTTAAGCCAACAAAGACACAGTATTTCCGATGAAGCTTTTTGAAACGTAAAAAAGGATGAAAGTCAAAGAACGAGACCGTCACGCTGCTTGACGGTACGTTTAGCTTCACTGGACATATAGCATTAGCATAGCATCAGCATAGAATTAGAATAAGCTTAAAAATACTACATCTGTGCCCATTTGTGAAGCGTTCACTTCAAAGCCCTCACCAGTCAAAATATTTCACCATGAAATAGAAAGCCGGCAATCAGTGCGAGTTAGAAACCTATTCATCACGGGCTGCGTTCCAGTCGAGAAAGTAAGTGCAAAACAATTATATCTTGAAAAAGTGGAGAAGCTTTTTGACCAAGGCTCATTTTCAGAGGGGTGAGATATTACAGGGTTTGGGGTTTCACGATGTGGGACAGAATTGAACATAGCAGCCTCCATAGTGATAATAATAATGATGATACATTTGTTATTTCAATCTGGAGAGACGAGGAAACAAAAATGCCTTTGAAGTTTTTTATTGAGAGGTAGTTTGGCGCCCTAGGCCCCGGTGCGGCGTTCAGTCAGCGAGGCTCTTGCGAGAGTGCGCGCACAATCCCCCGGGACCTAGGCACTGGTGGCGGCATTTGGCAGCAGGAAGGCAGATTGAGGCAGGGTGAAGAGGAGGAAGAGGGGAGGCGGTGGTTGCAAGGCTTCGAGAAGGGGAGTGGAAGTGGAAGAAGTGGGAGTTTCTCCGCTTTTAAGCGGCTGGCCTGGCCGGCATAGATTGATTGGAAGTGGGCGTTTGCTGTGCGATAGGCTGGGGATGCGAGGCCGGCCTGGAAGGGGTGGCTTTGGCTGACGTCTTCCAAATTGAATTTCCGCGAGGCTGCATTTGTGTAGCACAAGGTAAACAATATGACAAAGTGCTGCAAAAACTAATAAATAACATGTAGATGGTACTTTGCCAAGAGGGCGTCAGACAGGAGCTGTAGTCGTCGTAGTCTTATTTTTAGTGGTAGGGGAAACCGGAGCACTCAGAGGAAACCTACGCAGACACCGGGAGAACATACAAACTCCACCCAGAAAGGCCGTGTTCCAACACTTAACTTTGTGTGAATAACTAGTCACATTTCAACAACATAATCTCTTTAATACATGTTGTCAGCCGCTGGTTCAAAACTACAGGTTATCTGGACATCAGCACAAACAGACAAGTTACAGACTACAGTCTAGTCTGGGTCTCTAGATGGAAAGCAGAAGAGTGACCAAGAATGGACCAAGAGCTCTGGTCTTATACCCTGATAATTTGAAACACATGTGACAATATGTCCCACCTTCCTCTCCCTCAGAGAAGACGTGGCTTCCCTCTAAATAAACATGAGATCTACTGAAAACAGATGTTTTCGGCTTTCTGCTTATTTACTCTGCTCTTGTTTACTTATGCTCTTGTTTACTCTTCCCTGGGGGATGGGAGAATGCTCCATCCCACCACACAATAGGTTAACCCAAAGCTGTCTAAACTTTGAATATATTCTAATTCACTTTAATGAAAATCCAACAACTCTACTAACACTTTGCCTGAAGCCATCGCTGAAAGATCAAGGCTCCTGTGGACTCACCACCTGCAGGAGGATCAGTGAGGGGCTGGTGCTGTGTACTGGGTGCAGCTCTGACTGCCACCCCCCCAACCAAGAAATGGATTAGGGGGAAGAAAATGGATGGATAGGAGTTTTAGCAGCTACAGGACACTTGTTTATTGTCAAAATAGATGACAATGAGTGGCTCATAGAAGCTAACGGTGAATGAGTCAAGGAAGCTGAATGAGACATGGAAGCCAACAACTCTCATCTAAAACGTCGTTTAACTGGACAACAGTCTCTCTGCTACATTTCAATGAAAAACCTGCAGTTAGCTTTAATTTGTTCAAACGTAAACACAATAAACATCAGATCATTGAAGACTGGAGCCTGCAGCTGGGGCCTATTTTCTCTGGGACGCGCTTTCGTTCAAAACACCATCACCTTTTACAGACTCTGCAAACAGATGGAATCGTTTTGACTTTTTCCTCCGACGGCATTTTCACACGTTCATTAACAGAAACAGAAAAACAGAAAAGTCTTTCCGTCTCTCTTTCTCTGTCTCTCTCTATCTCTATCTGTCTCTTTTTCTGACTGTTTCTGTCTCTCGCACTTTCTCTCTCATTCTCTCTCTCTGTTTTTAATTACGAAACCTCTGCCAATTATGTGCCGCCTGGTGAACGGGACAGCTGCTGAGAGAGGGGCGAGCGAGAGAAGGAGGAAGGCCAAGTCATTTTGAATGTCAGCCATGTTGGCGCCTCCTCTCGCTCGGAGCCCTGTGTTTGTTTATGAAGTGATGGAGGCCTAACGAAGCGTGGCGGTCTCTGTGGAGCGGCAGGGGACGGGACAGGGAAGCAACAATTGGACGTTTTTTTATTGTGTTTAGGAGATAAGACAAGAGGACTGTGCATCAAAATGGTCGGTTTATCTGTTTCCTGTGTTCATAACAGGGACGTGTCATAAGGACCATTATGTGTGTGTTTTGATGATGGAAAAGAGCTGGTAACATTTCATAATAAAACTCCAAGAGTGCATTAATACATCATGACATATGTATCAGCATGACCCATGAGTCTCTAGTTTTTATAAGAGTATACTGCTGAATATGAGAGATATGCTTTTTTCTTACAGACAGACAGATACTTTATTGACCGACAGAGCCATTGGAAAATATTACATTAATCCTTTATTCAATAAATAGATTACGGTCCACTGTGTTAGGTCTTGGTTCAACAAGTTTTATGTATCATTTTAATATGTTTTATAACCATTGAACAGGTCCAGCCCTCGGCTTGTAGTAAATTTGTTTTTGCCTCTGACATCCCTGCCCTGAAGAATAAATGCAGATGTCCAGCGGCAGAGTAGAGTAGAGTAGGGCTGGTGGAATGCTCATCTGAAATTCATCTGGAGCCGGTACAACTGGAGGTCATAGGAGACATCACAAAACTGCTGGATCAGCTTCGCCCAAAGCTAACAAATATATCAAGAACAAAAGGGGCCCTACAACTGAGCCCTGGGGAACACCCACTGTACATCTGACATTATGCTGTTAGAGGACGAGCAAGAACGTAGTGTGTGTGTGTGCACGTGTGTGTGTGAGAGCGTGTATGTTTGTGTCTCTATGCCTAGAGTGAGCATGAAATTTTTCCACTGTTGGACGAATAAAGGAATATCTTATCTTTTCATGAGTGCTTGTGTGTGAGTATATACATGTATGTGTGGGGTCTGTGTGTGTGGATGTGTGTGTTTGTACCTGGAGTGAGCAGGATGACTAACATGTGTGTGTGTGCGTGTGCATGTGTGTGTCTGTGTGCGTGCGTGCATGGGTGTGTTTGTACCTGGAGTGAGCAGGATTACTGACGTGTGTGTGCGTGTGTGTGCTTGTGTACCTGGAGTGAGCAGGATGACTGACGTGTGTGTGTGTGCATGTGTGTGTGTGCTTGTGTACCTGGAGTGAGCAGGATTACTGACGTGTGTGTGTGTGCGTGTACGTGTACTTGTGTACCTGGAGTGAGCAGGATGACTGACGTGTGTGTGCGTGTGTGTGCTTGTGTACCTGGAGTGAGCAGGATGACTGACGTGTGTGTGTGCGTGTGTGTGTGTGTGTGTGTACCTGGAGTGAGCAGGATGACTGACGTGTGTGTGTGCGTGTGTGTGTGCTTGTGTACCTGGAGTGAGCAGGATGACTGACGTGTGTGTGTGCGTGTGTGTGTGTGTGTGTGTGTGCTTGTGTACCTGGAGTGAGCAGGATGACTGACAAGGTGATGAGAGAGCAGACCACAATGATGACCAGCAGAGCGATGGCGATTCCTTTCCAGTTCCTCTGTGGGGGACTGCCTCCTCCCAGGTCCTGCGGAGACACACCAGGCAAGTAAGGAATCTAGTCATATTCATGCATGAATAAAAAATGCAGTTTATCCCAAATGTTTTTGTAAAATAAAAATATTATGAACAAATAAAATCACAACAAACTGTTTTCGTCTTAAAAGAAATCATGTTACCTTTTACAGACTTGTAAGAAAGAGCCCTGTGAGTCGCTATTTGAGTCTTTGGGCTGAGAACTGATTGTCAGAAAGCTGATCTAAAGAAGTGACAAAGGCCAAAAATCCTACTAGTACTACTACTACTTTGTCAGGGCGACAGTAGCTCAGCCGCTAACGGAGCCCTTGGGGAGTAGCGCCACAATCTTTGCCAGCAATTAGATTTACTAAACATTCCTCTTACTCCGGCTTCAATTTCTTGATTAAACCAGACTGGATTACTTTACAATCGCATTCTTCCCCATTGCCAAACTACAACCAGCCCGTTTGGAGCAAACTCTTGACGTCACCCACAATTAATTACAACACCTGCCTCCCACGCTCGCTGATTGGTCGGATGGAATTCAACCGATTGTAATCGCAAACACCGGGACCAGACCCAGACTTTACATGCAGGGAAATGATAATCGAGCGGCGTGTACGGATTACAAAGGCCAGGCTAGATCCAAACTGTTGTAGAGCTAAGATTTTAGATTAAAGGGAAAAAAAATTTATGTGGTTTGAAAATTAGATACCCCAGTCAAACATTAGCCCAATTCACAATCACTTGATCCAAAAAGGGAAAAAGGATATGATTATTTGAGATGTGAGCTGATTGGATTTGTCTCTTCTCTTGTCTTGTCTGTATCTGCGACTGATGTTAACCAATTTATCCATCCATCCATCAATTGTTCATCTAATTGTAACTATGAAGCAGTTAGTAGACCCTTCCCTCACCAGATAAGTAAATGCACCGTTATATTTTAGGGATATTTTATAGCTTCCCTTTTGGCAGATACAGTACATGTAGTTGGAGATACATTCTCTGGCCTTCTTATGTTAGACTCAGATTATTTCTCATTTGTAGTGAAATCACATTGGAATACATATGCAAAAGTCCCCAGTGTGCACCAGACGAGTAAATGATATGTTATGTTTATTATTACTTGCAGGATGCGTATGTGACCCACTGCGGCAGTTAACGGTGGTTTTTGGCCTTGAACACACATGCTACATAGAATTACCACCTGAAAAAAATAAAGATGAAAAACAGAGCAGCTGCTATAGACTGAAAATATAGTAGCTCACACAAAAGACGACACACCACTATTCACTCTACTCTCACTTGATCCCTACACCTTTCCCAATGAAGTTTTACGCTCAGAACTAAATCCACCGACAGAGACCGGCACAAGTCACATAGTTCCCGACATGCAGCAGGTGAGACTTCAGCTGCAGACAACACGAGTTTTAGTCTCATGAGATTTTAAGTTACAAGACACAGATGACAGACATGAGGACAATCTTGTCTCAAAACGACATGGCTGCATCCCAATTCAACCGATTCAATGCAATGTATTTTTGTAGAGCCAGAAGTCATCTCGGAGGTCTTTAGAAAGTTGCCCATTCCTCAACAGATCAGAGAATCAAAAGTAAGCTAATTGTAAGTTTTTAGTTCTGAGAATCTAAATGTTCTAAGTTCATTTGTTTAAGATCCTTTTAAGTTTATAATTGGGCCAAAAACCTCGGTTTACATCAGATGTGTGTCGGCACCATGTGAGAAGTGAAAAAGGCCCAGAGGTCGACCCTTGGGGGACTCCACACTCATCTTGTTTCAAATACATTAGGGATTATTACTATGTTTAGATTAAAAGTATATAGAAAGATTTTCCCAAATTTTAGGAAAGAACCGCCTTCTCCACTTTTTGAACAAAATTCTCTGGTCTTATTTGATGAGCATGTATCACCAGAATGATTGACAGTTGTGAGGACCAATAGTCTTGATTATCCACCCGGAAGTCGAAAATCCTCCTGTATACCTTTAAATTATTTGTTTTTTCGATACCAGACTATTGTAGTACAGCAATGGTATTACCTTGACTTATTATACGGCTCCTCACAGCAGCAGTAGAATGCTCCATTGATTTGAATGTAATTTCAAAACGTTCTACCGGTCATTATTTTCTATAACGGACCTCTCAAAACAATAATGACCGCTGCCCATGGCAACGCACTCTCTGCTTGTCTTTCAAATGCGTGGATAACTCCGCAAGTAGTTCCGGCCACTCCGGAGCTAGCCACGCTCAATCAACACACTTAAATGTTAATCGGAGAATACTTATACATATACATTCTTCACACACGTGTACGGAAATTTTCAGAATTTTCTGGTCTTGTCTTCATGACAAAAATACTATTTCTCTGCGTCAAAAAGCGATCGTGAAAAACCCGGAAGTAGTTCTGGCCGCTCAATAAACGCAAATGCCAATCAATCAACGCAATGAAATGTTAATCGGAGAGTAATTTATACATATCCAGTCTTAATACAAGTGCACGGAAGTTTTCAGAATTTTCCGTTTACGTTTTCATGACAAAAACACTGATGTAATGCGAGAAAAGGCGATCCCGAAAAACCCGGAAGTAGATACCGGCACATTTTAAGATACCGGCACATTTTCGGACACATTTGCAGAGGATCGAATTATGGATTTAGGTTAGGTTTATGTATGGGTCACTCACCGCTGATGTTCAGAATTCTTTGTTCAGTTTTCATGCAGTTCCAGAGAGTTCTAGTTTGGAAGTTGCCAGCCTAACTGTTGCCCGCGGTTGCCGAGCAACGGGAAAACTTTTCGGGACTACTTTATTTGTTGTCATTAAATAAACTTTTGGCATTCATAAAAGTGATCTGAAGTTTATTTTGTGTGTTAAGTTGGTACAAAGCAGTATAATAAGCGGGATAATGTATAGCCTACAGGTCATTATCGGAAAATAAGTACCGACAGGGCGAAGCGGACCCCGACGCGCAGCGGAGGGGTCTGCTTCCGCCCTGAAGGTACTTATTTTCCGATAATGACCTGTAGGCTATACATTATCCCTTACATGTCTTTGGACTTGTACCAAATAACTTCATCAACAAAGAAGACCCAGTCAAGAAGTCTTAGGCTACTCTCCCCACGAGACCTACTCCATCTACTCCCACTGATTTTTGGGGAATTTAATTTAATTAAAAAGTCAAATTTAGCCGTCTGTGATTCCAAGACAGATTTCCTTTGGGACATATTCTTGATACTCTACACGCAGTGCACAGAACACTTTAACTTGGGTTTATTAGTTGGTTCAAGCAGTTTGTTTTCCTGCATTACAAATTGTTCCATTCCGAGATTTTTCTCCCGATATATTGTCGTGTCCACTCACCTGACACAGACAGCCATTGTTAGAGACAGAATGTCGTAAATAAGATATATTTCATTTGGGTTTTGGAAGAGCAGGTCAAAAGCCAGATTCAGAATATATAGAACAATACAAACAATTTTAAAAACACACAGTGGTCCCTCGTTTATCGTCCTATAAATAACCCTCAAAAAGCACAAGAAAGTGTTTGTATACTGTGAAAAATGAAAATCCGGCGAATTGTGGCGCTGTCAATCTGGAAATTTCTCATAGAAAATGATGGGCATTTCAATTCTTAGTGGGAAATTTCTAGTAAAATAAAGATGAATAAACAAATGGATCAGAATTCCAATAATGGGCGATATGTGTCTGTGTCTGTGAAGATCGCTGAAGGTCTGTGAACGACGCTAAATACTGATCCTTGAGCTTAAATGTTGTGCCAATGATATGGTGATAAAAGACGGCAGTAAAAAATAACACTTAAATCTCTCAACATTTGGTATCTGCGTTTATGGATAATATACTGAATATATACTTACTCACTACTAATATCTGAATAATTTTTTAGAGGGTTATAAGGCGCTCTTTACCAAAAGCCGGCTCTATTTTAGTGCCATACAAGTATTTCACCTTCTTAAGTTAAACTTTGACACATTCTCAAATAAGAGAATTCACTTCACTTCAGCCATAGAGCTGCATTATTATCATTATCATAATCAATATTATTATCATTATAATACACGAGAGGGGAGAGAGGAGGGAGGAAAGAATTGTGTCAGTGTGTCTAAAGAAATGCAAATTACTCAATTTGATTTTGATATCATAGTTATTGATATCTAAAAGGTTATTGTTTAAAAGTGATCAGAGAGAGAGACTTTCTGTAAAATTATAGAAATATTGGGGATGTTTATTTATCTCATTTGCATATTATGACATCATACAGTGGTGGAAATCATGGATTTTAGAATTTTCATCAATTTCATTTATTCCTTTAACAAACAGACCTACAGGTACAGTTTCCTATGTTGTAATTATAAGTCATAGCTTCCACTACAAGCTCCTCTGTCGTTGAGCAAAGCTGATCACTGTCAAAATATGAAAAGATGGGATCTCCACGGCACTAAAAATCCAATTCCCCACCGCATTAATTGCACACATGTTAGACTTTCGAGGCTTCAGCAGTAAAATGTTTGGAGCTGAAGCAGATAAAGTAAAGAGAAGAGACTCATACATCCTTCGCTCCAATATCTCTTTCCGTTCGTGTGTTTTAGCCGCGATAAGACACTACTAGAACATTTCCGTCTTCTACCAACCCTCCTCCTGGCCTCAATTACCCAGAATCCCCTGCAGGTGAGGAGCAGTGATTACTCGCCACCAGCGCACTACAGCGCTCTTTGAACGGCCGGAGGAGGCTCGAACAATCGGCTGTTTCCAATTACAGCAGATGTGTGGAGAGAGGAAATGCAACTTGCTCGAAGATTTATTCAGAGCAGCCTTTTAACAAAATGACATTTCTTATTGAATACGTTGAAGGAAGCTGAAGAATGTAGAAGCTAAAGTCCAATCTGTGTGTAGAAGCACTGGTCATAAAAAGTCAAAGTGGTCGTTCTCTGGTAAATATATCCAAATGATTCTCTGCTTTTACATACAAAATACATTCAGTAATAGTTTTATACAGCACTTTCTGCACACTCAAAGATGCATCATATGTCATTATTCATTCACTCCATACACGGTGGTGATAAACTACTACTGTAGCCACAGCTGTCCTGGGGCACACTGACAGAAGTTAGGTAACCAGTCTGTGCCATCGGCATTTGATCCATAAATTTTTTGAGATATATTTGCATTTGTCAAACTTTAAAAGGTTTATCACACACGTAACTCTCATTAATAAAGAGCTACAGTAACTTATTGCATGTTTTGACTCCACACATGGTTGGAGGAAAAAAGTGGAAGATTCCTCAAAAACAGTTCAAGGAATCACACATCAATTGATCTGTAGATGTTAGCAGCAGGAGGGTAGGGCACAGAGAAGCTGAGTTAAGTGACAAAAGACGCATGTGGTTCTATGTTACACAGATTCTCACACCTGTTACTAATACATAAACGTCTCACAGCCTCACGGCGTCCTGTCGCCACGTTCAGCCTCACGTTCACACACTCGGCAAGAGCAGCCATTTCAATCAATCATCATGGCCTTACACTTAGCCATCTATTATGCTGAGGACGGCTGCTCATTTCATTAATGGACAAAGCTCTGTCCTTGAACACAGTCAGGAAGCATTGCCTTCTGTCTTCTCGCCGCAGTCTGCTCTCTCACTGTTTTCAGCCCAAATGTCCCTCGTTTTGCCTCTTCGCGGTCATCATCCCCCAATTTACTAAGTTAATTATGAGCCATGATCGGAGCAGGAGGAAGGAACTGCTGTGTTTGTGGATTATCACCTGGGGTTTTATGGAGGAATGTAAAAACATCTTTTGAATTAGGATTACAGCCCCGTCAGGAAAAAAAATAATTTGAATGTGTTCTGCAAAGTGGACAGGAACAAATTTGTATATAATTCATTCCTTATTGTGCTAAAGTCAGAGCTTTTATACTTGCTTCTTTATTATGCTAAAGTTAAAGATCTAATTGAATATTATTTTAGTATAAAGTTATTGTCCATTTATCCTCATTCCTACTGCTCTTTAACCTCTGATGCAACACTGAAATTTCTCCCCTGTGGTACCAAAAAACGATCTCTTCGTCTAAATCTCAATCCCATTGTTTTTGAAGGATCAAGATAATTCCACTATTTACTTTGTCGTGTTTTAAAACGCAACACTGAATAGAAAGTACTGTACACAGCTAACATGCTGCTCAATGAAGTCCAATAGGGAAGCGCTAATGGACAAAGTTTAGCTCCAACTTGCTCCAGCTCCTATCGACTTACATTGAAAAGTACACTTCTCAAGCTCTGTCACGGTTTGTGTCTCGCTCTCACCACTTGGGATTAAAAAATCTATACAAATGTGAAAGGGTAGAGGAGGAAACAGGAAGTTGGTGGGAGGGGCTAAGGTTTTAAAGAGGGCAGAGTGGTAAATCTCTGTCTTTTCACTTTGGCCTACTACTGAGAGCACTGACCTGGATGTGCAGACTGAATTATAAAGTTTCCAGCCACCAGCAGATCTCTGCATGTATGGACTGATGCACTGGTTACTGACTCTAAACTAAAAGGTAAATCTGTTATTTATGTTGTTCATTTTTATGTATCTAGACCTCTGATTAATGAATCTGTCTATTTCTAAATGTTTACGTCTTTAGTGAAACCAGACTGAATGTGAAGGAACGGTTTCCTTTAGGAGAAAACCAAACCCATGGATTCAATTACTTAATGCCTACAAGAGGAATCAGACTGATAGTTAAATCCCACTCTACCTCCTGTTAAAGAACTGGACATGTATTATCATTTACTGTTGATATCACATGTTCATGAGTGTCGTTTTGTAAAGGCATCGTACTACTGCTCCTCCTCAGAGCGTCTGTTACTACCTCAACTACTGTGTATTAAATAGGGCTGTGCAAAATATATCGCTTAATTCACGTAAAATTACCGAATCATTAACTCGATAAAAAAAAAAAAAAAAAAAAAAAAAAAAAAAAAAAAAAAAAAAAAAAAAAAAAAAAAAAAAAAAAAAAAAAAAAAAAAAAAAAAAAAAAAAAAAAAAAAAAAAAAAAAAAAAAAAAAAAAAAAAAAAAAAAAAAAAAAAAAAAAAAAAAAAAAAAAAAAAAATAAAAAAAAAAAAAAAAAAAAAAAACAAAAAAAAAAAAAAAAAAAAAAAAAAAAAAAAAAAAAAAAAATAATTACGCATTAACTGCCATTGTGGCGTAACCGCTATTTATAACGTCCAGATGGTCCCGATTGTATCAAATGTTGGTAAGGCTTGAGCCAATATTTTAAGCAAGCCAGCCAGATGGCAGCATTTGCTCTATGATGGTTTGAAAAACAGCTAGAAGCAAGATGCACATGTGCCTCTTTTATCTTTCGATAAAAACTTACCTCTACTCAACCTGGGGATTACAGGGGAACGCAACAAGCTAAGAAACAAAAATTAATTTTGCAAGATGATAGTAGACAGGTCCATTACTTAATCAGAATCAGGTTTTTTGGATTTCAGATATAACAAATATTCTGTGGGTCTTGAAAATTCAGTAAAAAATATGGGAGTACCTGTTTCTGAAATAGGGCTGGGCAGTCAATGTAACGCATGGTCCGAATGGACCCCGCCCATTAATATAATAATATCCACAGAATGACACGGCCACGTGCGTGTGTGATTGGTTGACAGCGGTTAAACGTGGTCATATAAATAGCACGCATATATAAACACGCACAGGGCCAATTCTCTGGATGTTTGTGTGACACACGGAGGAAGAGAGAGAGACACTCTGAAAATGCAACCAACTCGCAAAATTAAAGCGGTGGTACCTACATTTTTTCCTTTCATAAACAATGTAAGTAGCATTGGTATGAATAACAATTGTAATCAATTACATTTGAAAATCTCATTAAAAGACTTCCAATTGGAGTGGATATGAAATAGAATGTTTAAAAATGTGATTAAATCCGTGAGATTAACTCACCATTACTATGCGAATAAAATCCACTAAAAAAAATTAATCGTTTTGACAGCCCTAGTATTTTATATTAATTTTAAATTGACAGGGACAGAACATGATATATGAAACATATAAGTCGACATGTCCCCTGGATTGCAACAAAAGGCTCATTTTAAATCCAGAAGAACCGGGTCTGTTTTAAATTAATTTTTTTTTTTTTGTGTGAATTTCTTTTTCCAGAGGCCAGCTGTCTTCCAGAGGCATATTTCTTCATTCCATTTCCATCCCTCACTTCTGTGGATACGCTATAAACGTACAACGACCAATATGTTTCTTTGGTTATATTAATAACAAGTCAATGGATAGTATAGAACACATCTCTCAATTTCTGAAGACATATGCAGCAGCACAGTAACAGCAGCCAGCAGTAACAGTAACAACAACAGGCAGCAGTAACAGCAGTAACAGCAAGCAGTCAGTCAACAACAGCAGTCACAGCAGGTGCCTGGACGCCCCTGCCTCTGACTGTCTTTTCTACGGGTGGACTCAACACAACCTGGAATAAAAATAAAAAAATTATTATTTAAGTTATCTTTGTGTGCAATGAAAAGTGATGTATGCCGTTTGTATTTATCCAACCACACAATCCTGAGAAACATGTTTCATAGCTTTTAGTTAAGTAATACTTCTACTCAATTTTTTTTTAAAAAAAAAAATACATTTAAGCCAATTAACTCTGACATTATCAGGTCCCTGTTTTGATTACAAGAGGAGCTCGTGCTCAAAAAGTTAATTTACCTCCATGACCTTTAAATCTGGTCAGTTTCAAGTCCACGGGTCTTCTGTGTCCAGCTTCATGTTTCACAGATTCCCCCTGTCCTCATAAATTGCAAACAGAATCACCTTTGTACTTAATACAAATTACTTTCCCAACAAAGTGGATGCACAAACGAGGGCCATAGCAAAATCCATCAATCGCACTAAAACACATCATTAATTTTACATGAAATAATCACATTTTAAGACTAATGATTACTTCTTAAAACCAATTGGTTATAACAGAGAAAGTATGATTCAAAATGCCGCCTTTTGGGTTTTTCATAATTACTTCCACATTTAAGACTGTTAAGCAAAAGGAGCTCTCAAAATGGACTCCCCAGGGCATGACGCTCCATACTGGGCATCAGCGCAGCTCAAACACCCGTGGTTAGCGTGTTAGCAGATGGAGCTCAAGGCTGGAGAAAAAAGTCCAAAGAAAATCTGTTTAACCCTTTGATGCACATCATGGGTCAAAGTGACCCACTGAAAGTTTTTATGTATCTTTATCATTGCAATGGATTAATTTTAATTCGTTTATATTCCATGTTATTCCTCAATTAGCTTGTATTTTTTATCTTTAAACATCCTCATTTATTAAATTGTTTAACTTACTTTTTTGAATTAAAACAAAAAAAAAAAATGATTTTTTGTATCACTACCCCTCTAAAGCACAACATGGGTCAAAAATGACCCGCATCCATTTTCTATGTAAATTTATTTCATGTAATGGCTGAGAGTTGCTTTTTGCTACACCCTTTGTAACATATAATATATTTTTTCATTTAGTACTCCATGTATAACAGGGGGAACTTAACATGTTTTTATTCATCACAATAACATTTTTATTTGTTTCCTTTCTTACTCTATGAACAAGCTCAAACATTTTGTTACCTACATGAACTTCACCTCACATGCATTCATAACTGTGGTCATTCAGTAAGCAGCTTTGAATTTGAGGCATGTTTGCTTAGGAAATTTTTGACAGCGGACAAGTCAATTGCAGAAGACATTCAACTTTGGTGGACTGAGGCTAAACCACACGAAGCAAAACCTTATAATTTTCAAAAAGCTTTTTCTGTAAACACGGAGTTAGTGCTCAGTAAATGTGTGCGTCCCATATGAATTTAAGTTTTATTTTCCCAATACGCCTGAAAACGCTGTGAAACAATGCCCAAACCTGTTGGTGGCCGCATGTGACGCAATGACGGGATCAAGCCCAAACTTCCGTGACGGGAACTGTGCATGCTGCAGAATTTTGTAAACAGACAACATGGCCGGTGGGCCGAGCTGGTAACTTACATATAGTATGGACGGACGATGAGGTTAACTGTTGCTTCGGGTCGCACTGGTATTACACAACCAACAAGCTACATTGTTTGTAGTCATTAATTTTCTGAGAGCGGCGCATGCGTGCTTTTAACAGAGGCGGGGCGATGACGCAAGCGTCCCTTAGAATACATTGCGGAGAAGGCAGTAACCACGGGAGCGGCATATACGGAGTTTTTTTGAAATCTATCCACTTCCTGTGGACCATACTTTTCAAAATGTATCGTTTACACCCCCCCAAAACGCCGCCTTCTGGTATGGACGATACACTGTTTTTGATAAAGTAACATTTTATGCGTTTAGGTCCTGAGCTTGAACTTCGTGTGGACAGGGCATGGGTCACCATAGATAAACTGCTGTGCCAATTCCAGGGCAGGTGCAAGTATGAAGCAGTTAACGTAATATGCCCAACAAGCCTGTGCAGTACGGGGAATATAAAACTTACTGGATGTGCATGCAAGACTCCATTAGCAATAAGATGGAATTGTCTACACAGGAAGACAGCCATGGAAGGAGGGGCAGAAGAACCTAGGGAAGAACATTGTACTAAAATTGTGAAGCGGAATCATACAGACCAGGTGAATATAGAAAATGGAAATTAAAGCATTTAACATATGTAAATGTTTATAGCACACTGCTTACCACACCCACTCGGTTGCAACCTACATTCAAAAATGTTCGTTACACCCCCCCAAAACCGCCGCCTCGTATGGAACGATACACTGGATTGGATAAAGTATTTTTTAGCGTATTAGGCCTGGAGCTAGACTTCGTGTAGGACAGGGCATGTGTCACCATAGATGAACTGCTGGTGCCATTCCAGGGCATGAGCACGTTTTGAAGCAGTACGTATATGCCCAACAATGCCTTGAAGTACGGGATAACAATCTTCTGGATGTGCGAAAGCAAGACTCCATTATGCAATAAGATGGAATTGTCCTACACAGGCAGACAGCCAATGAGAGGAGGAGCAGAAGACCTTGGGAAGAACATTGTTACTAAAATTGTGAAGCGGAAATCAGACATGACAGTGATAATAACGAAAATGGAATTAAAAGCTTTACATAATGGTAAATGTTATAGCACACTGCTTTCCACACCCACTTCGGTAGCAACCATCACAACGGACAACTTCTTCACCAGTTGTTCCCACTGGGCTGAGAAGCTCCCTCGAGAAGAACCTAACTATTGTGGCCTTCGCCAGAACAAGCCAGACATACCACCTATCATAAAGCCATCCAAGTCCCCCCAAGGGTGATTCATAGCTAAAATTCAGATTCAATGGCAACATGAACCATGTTGCAGAAGAAGGCAAATGCTGTTTATCCTCCTGATGCACAACATCCATGATAACAGAGCAATGGAAGAAGACAGCACAGAAGAATGAAAATCAGGGTGCTAAAACAGTCTACAACAGATGAAACCAACCACTCTCAATGCTTACATCAACTTCAACTGCAGAACACACTGGTATTACCATGGGATGAGGTTCACCCAATGCATGCCGGCCTAATCATGTTAGGACTGGGCAATTAGAGCTTTGTCGCATGGAAGAACATACCCACACTCCAAAAGCATATCATGGGAGGCAATGGGCAAGATGTGGTATCAAAAAACAAAAACACAGCCACCACCCTAGCCACAGAGAAAGGACATGATACAGGAGTGCCCAGCGAAGAGGAAGAGGATAGTGCGAATCAAACCCATCTGCTAAAGACAGAAGCCAGCAGTCTGGTGTTCCCAAGGAGCAAAGAGGCCAGTGTGCTATGAGCACAATTGTGTAGTGGCACTTTTATCTATATTTGATGAAATCATGAGTAACTGAATAGACAAGTTGTGCTCTACCGGTGTGATCATTTATATTTTTTATTTTATATTTGGTCCAATGCACCAGTTTTTTTTTTTTTT